GGAACCGGAGTAGGAAGGAGTAGCTATGGCAGAAGGAACCAGATATGCTGAGCTGCGCAAGGAGATGGATCAACTGAGGGACCAGATACATTCTCTGGCAGAGAGCAGTGAAAATAGTAGAGAGGAGAGTAGCAGAAATATGCAGGAAATGCGTGCGGGAATGGCAGTGATGTTAACTAAACTCACTCGAATTCCAGATCCACCGGCGGATGTGCCTCGAGTCCCAGATCCAGAGGGAAGACGGAACAGAGGTGAATATCAAGGAGGTCAGGACTACCAGATGGCTACGAAATGCTCTTCAATAGAGTTCCCACGGTTCGATGGTACATACTTGAAGGGATGGGTGTACAGATGTTAGCAATTCTTTGACGTGGATGAAACACCGATGTGATCTAAGGTGAAGCTGGGTTCCATGCACTTGGATGGGAGAGCGTTACAGTGGCATCAAACATACATGAAGTCCAGATTAACCAGGGAGATTCCTCATTGGGAGGAGTACATTCAAGCACTCAATAGCAGATTTGAAACCTTGCTCTTCGAAGATCCCATGTCTGAGCTGATGAATCTGAAGCAACTTGGACCATTGCAACAGTTCTTGGACTAGTTCGATGTGTTGATGAATAGTGTGAATCTTTCAGAGTCACAAGCAGTTAGTTGTTTCTTAGGAGGAGTGAAACCAGAGATTGCAGTTCCCATTCGTATGTTTAAACCTAAGACAATGATGGAAGTAGTGAACCTAGCCAAATTACAAGAACAATCCATGGAATTAACCTCACCAAGAAAACCCACACCCCAACCCCCCATTAGAGCAAATTACACCCACCATCGACCCAATCCCTTACCCCTCAACCGAAACCCTACTTACACACCCCACTCCCAACCACCCAAACCTTACCATAACTCTCATTACTCACCCCCTATCCTGCCTAAACCAAACAACTATCCATTCAGAAACTCTTCTATGAGTCCAAACCGAAGAATACCCAACCAAGATCTTGATGAACGTACAGCTAAGGGTCTTTGTTTTTGGTGTGATGAGAAGTATTCCAGAGATCATCACTGCCCAAAAAGGATACAGATGTATGTAATAGAAATTGGGGATGAGGAGATGAGCCCTGAAAGTGAGTTTGAATCTCCTTCCACCTTGACATCTAAGGATAAACAGGAATGGGATGGAGATGAACTTATCTCTCATGTATCTGTGCATCCAATAACTGGAGCTGATGATTACAAAACAATGAGACTGAAGGGTTCAGCTAGAGGGAAGAGTATTAGGATTGATTGACAATGCAGCCACTCATAATTTCATAGATATTGAAACATCCAAATTACTTGGATGTAAATTGGTGGAATCTAAACCCTTCTCAGTTATAGTGGCGGAGGAAACAGATTGAGAAGTCAGTACAAATGCACTGCTTTTGTGTGGAAGATGCATGGTGTGGAGTTTACAGCATATGTGATGACATTGCCATTGGGCACTTGTGATCTAGTGTTGGGAATACAATGGCTAGCAACCTTGGGAGACATAATTAGCAACTATCAAGAGCTAAGGATGGAATTTAATTATGAGGGCAAGAAGGTGATACTTAGAGGCCTTCATAAGAATAATGTTAAGGTGGTTTCCAACAAAAAGCTTAACAAGATTCTGCAGAATCCTTCACAAATTACATACCAATGCATTGGAACAATGCAAGAATGTGAGGAATATGGAAGGGATGAAGAGAAATCAGCCAGCATTGAAGCAAGCTTCAAGTCATTGGAAGCTTATCCAGATCAACCCCTACAACAGTTACTCACTGAGTATGGAAGCCTATTCATGGAGCCCAAGTCATTACCACCAAATAGATCACATGATCACATAATTCATTTGAAGGGGGGAGCTGAAGCAGTGAATGTGAGGCCTTACAGATATCCCACTGTTCAGAAGACTGAGATTGAGAAAATAGTAGAAGAGCTACTACAATCAGGAGTGATTAGACCTAGTTCTAGTCCTTTTTTCTTCTCTTGTGGTATTGGTAAAGAAGAAGGATCACACTTAGAGGATGTGTGTAGATTACAGGGAGCTGAATAAGCATACTATCAAGGACAAATTCCCTATTCCAATAATTGAGGAACTTTTGGATGAATTACATGGGGCTAGTGTTTTCTCCAAACTTGACTTAAGATCTGGCTACCACCAAATTCGAATGCAAAAGGAAGATGTGATGAAAATTGCATTTAGAACACACCATGGCCACTCTGAATTCCTAGTGATGCCATTTGGATTAACCAATGCACCATCAACCTTTCAGAGCTTAATGAATATTGTTTTTCAACAGCAATTGAGGAAGTTCATATTAGTGTTCTTTGATGACATCTTAGTTTACAACAGAGATTGGGATTCTCATTTGAAACAGTTGAGAGAAACCTTGGAAATATTAAAAGAAATCAACTGTTTTTTAAGAAAATAAAATGTTCATTTGGCACTACTTCCATAGAATATCTGGGACACATCATTACACCAAATGGAGTAGCAGCAGATCTAGCCAAGACACAAGCCATGGTGGAATGGCCGGTACCAAGAACATTGAAGGAGTTAAGGGGGTTCCTTGGGCTGACAGGTTATTACAGAAGATTTGTGAAGAATTATGGGAGGATAGCCCAACCATTAACTACTCTTCTAAGGAAATATAATTTCAAGTGGAATGAATCAGATCAATTGGCTTTCTAAGAGCTGAAGCAAGCCATGATACATACCCCAGTTTTAGCACTGCTAGATTTTTCCAAGGAGTTTGTGGTGGAGACAAATGCTTATGGCAATGGGTTGGGAGCAGTTCTCATGCAACAAGGAAGACTTATTTCATTTATGAGTACGGATTTAACTATCCAGCAAGGGGGGGCTATCTACTTATGAGAAGGAACTCCTAGCATTGGTAACTGCCATCCAAATATGCAGACCTTACCTCATATGCAGTCATTTTGTGGTTAGAACGGATCATCAAAGTTTGAAATACCTTATGGATCAAAGAGTATCTACTCCAGCTCAGCAAAAATGGTTAGTGAAACTGATGGGGTATGACTTTACCATTGTGTACAAAAAGGGAAAGGAAAATGTAGTGGATGATGGTTTATCTAGAGTGAAGACAGATCCTACATTTCTCACTTTAACTTTGCACCAATGTCCATTTATAGAAGAGATCAAGGCTGCTTATAGAGTGGACCCTACGTTGGAAAAATTAATCTCTGCTATACAGAATGGGACCAATCAGAGGGCATCTTACACTGGGGATAACAACCTGTTATTCAGAATATTAAGATGAAGCTCGTTTCAACTTAATCACCCAACGAATCAAGATTGGCGTCTAGCAACTACGCATCATGATTCCCCAGATACAAATGAAATGCCTGCAAGAACCTTTTGATATAGTTAACATACAGTACGATCCATTCGATTCATATGTTCCGATCGATCCGATCGAACTAGAGGCATTGGTTCATCGAGACCTCCTTAGTAGTTCAATAATGTGCGATCGTTCTAACTGTTGTAATCGGTGCGTGCATGACTTAGAGAATCGAATTCCCTAATCATCACTTAGTCAGCTCTGGCCAGAGACTTAAAGATTACACACTATGAGAACACACAGGACATCCAAGACTATTCTAACGATCGAATCCCCGACTACAATGCACAGACCTCCCACTAGATTTTTCGGACTGCACGAACAATGGCCCTTGTGGCGGTCCTCGGTGGAACTCAGGGACACGTCACGATACAGCTGGTGCTCTAGTGAAGTCATGGTGATGTCTAGGTCTTAAGGACTAATGCTGTACAACTATACCACAGAGATCTCTACTCGATTATTGAGAACCACTTAAGATTTATAGGGTGAGGGAGTTCAGTGAACTCCTCAACTTACGAGCACCCACTTATGCATGCTGATATCACAATACCATTTACTGATGAGACGCAGTACACATGCACTAAGTGCTAGTCTCTTAATGGGAAAGGTTGATATCCTCATTGGTGGCGTAACCCTTCGACTAGGAACACGTTTAACAGTTATAATACTTAAGTAAATATCTCACGATCCTAAAAGATCAATTACAAGTACTTGTAATAATTGTAAGGACTATATCTATGTTTGAACAAGGGACAAATATATAGAATGCCAAGGCGTTTTATCATTAATACGAAAAAGGATTATTTATTACAAGAATAAATGCAAAGACCACAACCACAAGTTGGCTTGTTGGTCACCTACTCTAACACCCCTCTCCTAAAAAAAATCCAAAATCCAAAATTCTAGCCAAAACTCGCATTGTGTCTCCCATATGTGGAACCTTCACATCGTTTGTAGTTAGCATTTTCTGTTTGCAGGTTGGTTTAACTTCGTTTGTTGTTTGAAGAATTGTGTTTGGTGTTGAGATTCGATTCCTTTCGTTTACACTTTGCAAGGTATGTATTAAGTTACATTTTACAAACACTTTGTTTAATGTGTTTACTGTTTACAACGTGCTCCATAAACAATTTTTTTGTTGGTGTTTTTAATGATGATGATTTTTTTTTAAGTTTGCTGTTTACATTTGGCGAAGTCATAGGTAGTTTATTTCTTGCAATTCAATAATGCAAGTTCTGCTGAATTTTTTTCTTCAGTTTGCTGTTTGCATTTGGCGAAGTCTTAGGTAATTTTTTGTTTGCAATTTAATAATACAAATTCTGGATTTTTTTTTTTTTCCGTTTGCTTTTTGGATTTGACAAAATCATAGGTATTTCATTGTTTGCAATTCAATAATACAAAATCTAATTTTCAGTTTGCTATTTGCAGTGCACAGAGTCATAGGCCACGCAGGAAGCGTCACAGTTCCCTGAGTCATCGATAGTGTTTTTAGAGTATGAGTTTGTAAAATAAATTGTATATTTTTTTATGAATTAATTTAATTTTCTAGATAATATTTGGAAGAGATATTTTTGGAAATTTGTTTTTTTTTTTTGTTTTTTTAGAGTCCAGAAAAAACTTCATTTATAAAGCCAATTTCGCAGAAATAATAGAACAGATACTATCTGGTAATACTAACGTGTCATAAGTTTCCTTTCTCGATAATCTTGCTATCTCGTGCGCCGCCTTATTACCTTCCCGAGCAATATGCTGTGCTTTGAACATCATTAGCGTAGAACCTATTCGGATAATATCGCTAACAATCGTGCCGTAGTCTGCGTTGCAATTTGATTCTTTGACAACGGCGATAACAACACTCGAGTCCCCTTCAAGGACAATCCTCTGCCAATTGTTATCTCGAGCCAGTTCATTCGCCATTAAAGCTGCTCTAGCTTCAACCACGATTGGGTCAAGATGTTGTTTAATGAATTTTGTACGAACGAGCTATCATGCCAAGACCACACACTCTATCGAGGGAATTGACAGAGGCGTCAAAATTCAGCTTCACCAAATCTGCCTCTGGGGGTTGCCAACGAACTTCCTTCCTAATTCTCTTAATATTTGGAGACAATACTTCGGTTGTGGCCGTCTGGAGGTCATTCCACATTTCATTCATGAAGAATATAATTGCCCCCGGGTCTAAATCGCTCACGGTTTCAATTCCCTCCGTCCTAAGATCCCAAAGCGAGTAGCAAGCATCTGAAGTCTTGATGATCTGACCGAGGTAGTCCCCTCATAGGCTGGTTGAAGTTTTTCCATTCTTCCTTGGCACACTCACATGCTGGATTATCTTCAATTGATTGATGTCAATTCCGTTGAATATAGAATTCAAGGCTTTGGAATTCTTGTTTGCCGCAATCTGCTCAACTTTGTTCTAGTCTCTTTCATGCTTCTCAGTCTCGATTCATTTTTCATGTGTGGCAATAGGTCGTTTCCTGCCAGTCAGAACTGTGCGCCATGCATCTTTATCCATTGACTTGATGAACATCTTCATCTTGGTCTTCCAATAAGAGTAATTGGTTCTAGTAAGTAGTGGTGGGCGAGTCGTGGAACCGCCTTCCATATGAGCATTCATAGTTCCTATGGAAGATAAATGGCAAATAAATCAAATTCTCAAAATCACACACTATGTATATCTAATGAGAGGGTCTAGATGCCAATTGTAGATTTTAAATTCCTATGAAAATCCACACTTTCTGTTGAGACACATTACTTGTTACGACATTAGGTGTGGTAACATAATTCTTGTGTTGTCACAACAATTAACCTACTAAAAGCAGAATAAAAAACACAAGAATTTAATGTGGTTCGAATAGAAACGTACCCTACATCCACGAGGACTTGCAAACTAGTTCAGATTTACAGTGTACATTGATAGGATGATGAAGTACAAGTTTGAAATATATGAAATGTTCAAACATTTCGAAAACGAAGTAGAAAACAACTCATACGAAGTATTAAGAAACAAAGATCTGATTGTAGTGGAAAATACTTAAATGATGAGTTTATCGACTATCTCAAAGAGAACGTGATTCACAAAGTTACTGGCGTACTTATGGGGTCATGCACTCCATACCGCCGCGTATTTGCTGAATAGGGTTAACACCAAAGCAGTTAGTTCCACACCATATGAACTCTGGCATTCCCGGTAATCCACTTACATGAAGTGGCTAGTGGGAGACGAGTTGAATAGTCGATCCAACTTATGCCATTTCGTGGGGTATCTAAAAATTTTTTTAGATACTTGTTGTACTATCCCCTGAAACAAAAGTGTGTGTCTCGCAGAATGCCATCTTCTTAAAGAAGAAATTTCTATGCAATAGAATAGGTGAATGGTAGAATTCGAAGAAATTCGAGAACCACGAATTGAAGTTCCAACACCATAAATAGAATAAGAGCCAATCAAAATCAAATCACCCATTAATGTACCTTCTCAACCATCTATGTGGAGATTCGAAAGGATCCGTAGAGAACTCAATAGGCTAACCATCATTGAAGGTAGTAAAAATGAATTTGACAAGGGATGTGATCCAAGAACCTTCAATAAGGCTGTATTTGGTGCATTAAGGGATATTGTCTTAACGCCATGAAATCCGAAATGGATTCCATATACTCCAACAAGGTATGGACCTTGATACATCCACCCAAGGGAATCTTTCCCATTGGATGCAAGTGGATCTATAATCTTTAAGTTGGAATAGATGGAAAGGTACCTATCAAGCTAGACACGTGAAAATGAGTGATACTCTAAGCAAGTTGTTGTATGTGAGATAAATTTTCACGAAACACTATGTTGTAATTCCATTAGGATTTAATTTGCTGGCCATTTCTGCGTAGTACGACTACGAGATATGGAAAATGGATATGATGATCACCTTCTCAATATAGAGATTGAGGAAATCAGAGTGGTGCAGCCAAAAGGCTTGATATCTTCTGGAAATTGGCAAAAGGTTTACGGAATTCCAACGATCCATTTATGGATTGAAACTAGCATCCCATAAATTAGAATGTTCAATTTGACACAAAAATCAAGGAATTGATTTAGTATCGAATTCGAATGAGCCTTGGGTTTATAAGAAGGTTAGTGGGAGTGCCATTTCGTTCCCCAGTACTTTGTGTTGATAGCATCCTACTCATTGGGAATGTCGTAGGGATGCTACAGTCAACTAAAGCACAATTGTCCACATCTCAATACATGAATTTGGGATAAGCTTCCTACATATTAGAGGATACGTATTTATATAGATAAATAGAAGAGGTCGCTTAGTTATGCCAATTCATGTTATAGACATGATATAATGTATGCAGTGAAGCGTCACTGTAGATATCAATCTAACCCCAACCAAGTTAGTTGGATAGCTATGAAACAAATCCTTAAATACTTGTGAAGTACTAAGAAATTGTTCATATATAGTCTAAGGGGATTCCAAATTGAAAACAAAGTCGTTCGACGACTCTAGTGTTTCAATCGGAAGTGGACGACTCAAAAAGGACATCGGGATTTGTATTCATGCTTGTTAACGGGGTGTCGTATGTGTTCCAAGTGAAACATGACGACCGATTCCACCTCCGAAGCTTAATATATTGCGGCATTAGATGACGCAAACTAGCAGTTGGATTCAAAATTACATTGAAATATTGAATGTGTGATTTCAATTAGTCTCATCAGAAATCCAAGAATATACTGAATCATAATCATCTCAATGGTTAGATAATTAATAGATGTGAACTTTAGTTCGAGAGAGTTGCCTCGGTAGACAACGTATTAGATCCCTGAACTTAACCTTTACCCATACCGGTCTGTGAGAAACATCGAGAATCGATGGGACTTAGGTAATGAGTAGTTGGCTTTAGGTCAAGTGGGAGATTGTTAGAGTAGGTGACCGAAGAGCCAACTAACTGTTTTGTTTTCTCACGCTACTCGTAAATGATCTATTTCGTATTAATGATAAATACCCCCTTTGGCATTCTATATCTTTGTCCCTTGCATAAGCATAGATGTAGTCCTTGCAGTTACTTAATTATTGTAAATAGATCTAGTAGAACCGTGAGATTATTTATTTAAGTATAGTAACTGTTAAACATCGTTCCTAGTCAACGGGTTACGCCACTAATGAGGATATCGGCCTTTCCCATTCGAGACTAGCACTTACTGTATGTGTACTGCGTCTCATCAGTCAACGGTGTTGTGACATCGGCATACATAAGTGGGTGCTCATAAGTTGATGAGTTCACTGAACTCCCTCAATCTAGAGATCTCTAAGTGGTTCCCAATGATCGGGTAGAGGTTTCTATGACATAGTTGTACACCATTAATCCTTAAGACCCAGACATCACCGTGACTTCACTAGAGGACCAGCTGTATCGTGACATGTCCCTAAGTTCCACCGAGGACCGCCCCAAGGGCCAGTGTTCGTGCAGTTAGAAATCTAGTGGGAGGTCTGTGCATTGTAGTAGGAGATTCGATCGCTTGAGTAGTCATGGATATCCTGTGTGTTCTTGCGATTTATAATCCATGAAGCCTGTGGCCACAGCTGAAAGTGTCGTGATTAGAGAAATTTGTTTCTCTAAGTCAAACACGAACGGATTATATAATAAAGAACGCCCACACAGTTATTGAACTCATAAAGAGGTCTCGATGAACCAATGCCTCTAGTTCAATCGAGATATATGTATTGAAGGGATCGTACTGTACGTTAACTATATCACACGGTTCTTGCAGGCACTTCATTTGTATATAAGGAATCATGACGCGTAGTTGCTAGACGACAATCTTGATTCGTTGGGTAGTTAAGTTGAAACTAGCTTCAACTTAATTATAACTCTAGGGACGAGTTTAAACCACAATGGGTTGTGGGCACACAGCTAGCTTACACCTGAACCATCGAGGGTCACATTGCTCGTATACTTGAGATCCTTAATGCAACGAGCTAAGATTAATTTGTTAATCTTAGTGTAATTAGTCAATGTGATTGAGTCCAACATTCGTAATTGTTAATTACAGATGAGAATAAGTAGAGGAAAAGAATCCAACGGAAATGTAGTGAACTTTCTATTTTGGGAAGTTTCCCAATTTGGCAAGTCCTAAATAAGGTTTCCAATTTCGGAAATTGGTAAATTGCTAATTGATAGTCGTATCGACGAGAATTTGTGCTCGTCGTCAAAATATAATTGTTGTATTTTTGCGAGCATTCGTTTATTAGAAACGAGCCGAGAAAGAGAGTGGATTTAAGATGTTGGGCCTAGCCCAACTTAAGGCCAGTTAGAGTTTTCACAAGGAGCGTATAAATAGGATTTATATGTCTTGTGAAAGACACACACAAAAAATAAAACGAAACGTAAGAATGAAACCCTATTCTATCACCCTCCATGGGCCGTCCACCTTGCAGCCAAAGCCCTACCTCCGCCACCAGCCGCCGCGCCGCCGCATCGGCATCTTCTTTTTCCCTTCGTTCTTATTCGTTGTACTTAGCCTATCACGTATCCAGTGCTGCGTGGATAGTGGATTTAATATACGAGCTGAAGTTAAGAGGAGGAAGATCACTATACCGCCAACACCGCCACCATGGTCGTCCACACGCACCCCCACGCGCCGCCACAAGCCGGTGATGCGAGAAGGCAATTATGAAAAACTGCTCTCGGATTTTCTGCGCAGTCGAGCGAGAAATTCGCCATAAATCAACCGGGGATCAGATGAACGTGAAAATTTGAGAGGAGCTTCACAGCTTATAGTTCTACAATCTGCTTAAAGGAATTGTGCATCCAGTCAATAACCATGGATATATTGAAATCGGAGGAGGCCTGTAATTTTGGATCAGGAAAGAAGTTGGATCAGTTGGAGTGGGAAGAGCAGCTAGCCATTTTCTCGTGTCTTCGTTCGATTCACGCTTCAAGGGTATAGTATATATATATATATATATATATATATATTAATTGAGATTAATGTATGTTAATTGATTATTGTATCACTTGAATCTGTATGTTCGATTATGTGTTTGTGTGAATCGTTCGTTGAGCATGTTAATTATTTGATTAAATTTTGCGAGCATGCTTTGATGATTTAATTAATGTCATTTTAATTAATTATATATACGAGCATGTTTGTCG